ATCCAGGAACACAACAGTTGGATTTATGCGGCATAATCCACACAATCACATGCAATTTTCAGTCGCGATGGACGCCATTACTAAAATTTCTGTCCTTCCAAACAATCCATGCATGCTTTGCGGTCCGAACTCGAGCCCAGTACCCTGCTCGATATGGAAAAGGCGAATACTAAATAGCACAATTTTATGTACTATTTACTGGGTTGCCTGTGGCAGCCCAGTCATAAAATGCCTCTGCTTTTTCCGTCTCTTCCTTGACAAAACGGTAAAATTGCATAATATTACCCGCATATGGATTGGATGACGTGTGGATAGCTTCACGTGCGAGTTCATGCAGGCTATTGTGGAATCGAATGTGCATGTTCTTTGAGGATATGTGACCAAAAATTTATAACTTTAGCCTTTTATTGGGAGATGAGCAAATACCTTCATTAAACAAAATTGGCGACCTTCAATTCCACACGGTAGACTTTCATCGCGGAGTTTTACTTGTAAGTCATTTATTCTCATTCATGTTCACTGATTCACCGAAAGCATAAAAAGGTTTGTTCGAGTTTTAAATTTGATTTGAACGAAGACTAAAATAATTTTGTAAGGGCAATCAACAAGCTTCAATGCCACGGCAAACACTTTTAATAACAGTCAACTTTAGGCAATGATTTCTTCAATAAAATAATAAACGACAAATGAAGAACTTGAAAAAATACTGAAGAACAAAAAGAATATCAATTCCGATGGAATCTTGAGGAAAAATCAGCCTACCTTACCATATATCCATAGATACATAGATCCATATATCAGACCATAAAGAACATCTCTGTCAACAACTCAAAGATTTGCTCTATAAAACAACCAGTGATATACAAACCCAAATAAAGACTAGCCTCTGCTGCCAAACCCTGCAGGACCTCTGCAACGGAGGCTAAATAAAGACAAGCTGAATGATATTTCTAAGGGAGCAAATGAATGTTTTATGATTGAAATGCTGACATAATTTCTTCCATCGGGTTCATTTACGGCAGGCAAGTTCAGGCAAATCCATACTGTCTGGTTGTGCCAAGCTAGGTAAAACTGCTAAGTAACACTTTTGTGTCCCATGGCTTAATTGATATCAAACTCGGTCAAACCAGAAGCGAAACTCAAAGCTCTGACGTGCAGAATAATATAAGTAAGGAATTTGTAGAGAAGTTCATCTTATTTGGGCGAGTAAATAAAAATTTTCTGAGCTCTCTAAAGTCATGCGTAGAAGGGATGCGCGCGATCAATGCAACCCAACCAAGGCAACCCAGTATACGCTCTTAGAGCGTCTTGTTAGTAATTATAGTGTTTCACGGATTAATTGTTTGCACTCTATCTTATATTCCTATTGTAATTTCTTGCATTTTTGCTGAAAAGCCCTTAAGGGGAGCAACAATAAAAGGTATGTATGTATGTACAGTATTGTCTGTAGATCAGCATTATTTGAAGGTCGTTCGCGGCGCGTACCGTTGATGCTGAAGCAAACGGATGACAAAGCTCCAAGAGCGTCCAGTTCTTTCAAATGTATATCAACTTATCGTAATAAACGTACCTGCATTTCTGCTGGAAAATGTCCCTTTCCTCCTCAGTAGTAACACATCTCCTTCCTTTACTGCATAATCTGATAAAGTTTTCTTTAACTCATTCAAATGGTTTCCTTCATACCAAACAATGACATCACTTGCTGGTATCCCTAGCTCAAATTCTACTAAGGCAAGAAAGTTTTCAAGCTCTAAATCACCACTGATCTCAAGTGTAAATAACGAATCGTCCTCACATGTTACAGTTATCTTCATTTTGCTATCTATAGAGAAGGAATCAGAATAAATATCTTGATAAATCCTCTTTGTTCAAACAATACAACAATCTCGTACCCAGAGTCCTCCAGCCAATTCCTGCCGTGACGGCCTGGTGCTAGACTCTTCCACAGTCTCTCGCTCGGTCGTTCACGTGATCGAGTGTGTTCGCCATATCCTTGATTCTCGTTTAAGAAGTTGAGACACGATACGAAAACAGCGATTTTAAAACCCCTTTTAACAGAAACTAAAAGGTATGAGCGCTTAATTTCAATGTCAAGCCTATCTTTTTAAATTAGATGCCCATGTGAAGGCGTAAAATTGACGCGTTTGAGGCCAGTGAACATTACTACAAGTAGAATTAGTACCATGGGCTACCAGCTAGAGGGTGAACTTCTAATGCTTTATTTCTCGAGTCTAGCTAACGAAAGCAGTTTTAATATACAGCGAAATCTCAACAACTAGAATTTGCTCCAAGATTACTTTAAAAGAACTTTATTTAAAGGCCAGAGAATGACAGATATTTTATGTTTAAATCTTCTACTATCGCTCTCTCATGAATTTCAGATATCTAAACATGTCGGAAACGCTCACATTTGGACCTCAGTGGTAAGTGAAGTATCATTTACCAATATATTAGTAGTCACATCATCATGGTGTAATGTATCGCATTATTGTGCTTCTTTAACTGTCATATTCTTACTGTAAGGTGTTTTGTTTGTTTACACCTTGACCTTGAACCAGCTGTGTGTGTGTTTGACGTGCAGTGCCTAGTTCTGGTTATTCATATTGGCCAATAACAGCACTACTTCAAATCTGCAATGTGTCTTGTACAAAGATTTTGCAATTGAATAATTGAAACTTATTTTAAATTACGATATAAAGTAAGATGCAGCTTGCAAAACATACCCTTTCCATTTCCCCCTCCCCTTTGATGTTGCTTACTAAGAGAACTTATTCATTTGGTCCTGTGGAAATTTTGTGCTGAAAGCAAGCCACTAGTCTAGATGTGTTAAAATATTCAGACATTCTTTTAACTACATCAGACATTAATAGATCCATAAACGTTTATGGAGGCCTTGTTGGCATTGCCATTATCCCAAACGCACACAATCACGATAATAAGTTATTTTGATTATTAATGTATGCAAATGGAAATTCTAGAGAAGATAGCTAAATCAAGTCACACTTCAACTGCTGATAACAGAGTTGACATCCCATTCACCACAATGAAAATTGCCTTGCCATTGATGGAATGGCAGAAAAAGCGAAAAGCAGCATTGGATAAACAAGCTACTAATCAAGATAAAAGTAATCAAGAATAGGTTGACACCTAGATGATGGGGACGCTTTGGATGCAACTGGGAAAGGTGCATCTACGATGTAGGACGTTATTCTTGTTGTGCCTGAGTGGCGTAATTTAGCAACACCAAAAGTCATGTGATTAAATTTTTTACCTCGAAGTGAATGAAAAGTTTTAAAACAGCTATTGGCTTGCATTCAGCACAAAATCCCCACAGGAATATTTCCACAGTAACATTTAAACATTATGCATGTGTCACAAAAGGAGTTCTTCGGTGGGGTTCTGTGTAGTTAGATATTATAATTTAACTTTGTTTACAAAACAGATAGTAACAATGAACAAATACAGGTCATTTACCTCAATTTCCTTTGGCCTTAACTAAATGAACATTATCTCTCTGTCCAGCATCGTAGTAATGTCTATTTATTTAAAAATCTCAATCCAATGAAGAAGACCATGCATATAACAAATCACTCATAATTGTAAGCTGCATGGCTGCTACTTGCACCTAAATACGCGGACCGTAAAGTCCTCCACTGGTCATTAATGTAAACAGTATATAAACAGTAATGCATCTATTTATGCATCTATCTACTTATGTCTTTGTCCTAAGGTTATCCCTCCCAATGAGTTGTAGTTAGGAAGAGGGTGATATATTATTTTCATTTTTATGTTAGAATGTTGATCATCACAGTGAATAAGCAATCTAAGCGAATGCTGTAAAGAAAGACCTGAAAAAATGATTTCAGGCTTCAACGGGAATCGAACCCATGACCTCCGCGATGCGGGTGCGATGCTCTACTAACTGAGCTATGAAGCCAATCCTGTTGGTGAGCCTTGGTTTATTTATGATTTTTTTTGTTTGCACATGTGCATTATGATCAAGTATGTTAAATGCTCCTAGGCATTATGTGAGTAAAAAAACTCTTATTATTGTTATTGTTATTATTATTATTAATATTATTATTGTTACTATATCTGTTCTTTTGTGTTCATTTTTTAGGCTTCGTGCTCTTTCAAGTGGTAACAGTGTTACCTCTCCTCCACCATCTCCTGGACCAAAATACAAGATGGCTGAGTATCGTTATGGTAAAGAAGAAATGCTGGCCTTATTTATAGAAGGTCTGGTTAAACCTATAGAGTTGGATCACTTTTCTTCTATTACAAGAGAAAAGTCCCATTTCCCCTTGGCTTTTGTCCCTCCAACTGAGGAAGAGCAGGTTTGTCATCTATTTGTACACTTGTTAAGATAGAAAAAGACTTTATAAGACTGTAGCTATCATTTTTTTTATCTAGAGATACTCACTTGGCTCAGTTAATAGTAATGCTGTGCTAAAGCTGATGGGTAGAGGTGCACCAAGAGGAGCAGCAAGAGGAGCAAGAGGTGGATTAGCAGGCAGAGGTACAGTATTAATTATAAATGTTTATTGCCAATAGGCTGTTAGATTATTCCCCTTTGTGTGACATTTCACTGAAAACATTTCATCACAATAAAAGTAAATTATTCTTCGATTGCATGTTACGTCATCGCGGCCATGTTGGTGCCATTTAACGAAAGATTTCTAGTTTGTATCCATTGTTAACAGCACCACAATGGCCACCATGTTTTTGTTTTTTGGCTCTCTTGGGAAAGCTTGCCAACCATCAATAGCTGATTGACATTTTGAAGAAAAATTAGAGACAAAAGTACTTGTATTGGATGTTTCGATTACCTTGTAGCTGAGTGAGCTTGCTTCTTACTAAAATGTCTGACATTTTCTTTGTCTGGCCACACTTGGGCTTTGACAGGCCAAGTATGCTTTAATGCTTTAAAAATTGAACCCTTGTGCCTTTCTTTTTTAGGGCGTGGGCGTGGTGATGGTGGGTTTATGCGACAGTCATCATATGAAGAGGCACGTACTGACACTGGAGGATTTAGAGATCCAAGACGACAAAGCTGGGAGGAGGGCAGGTAAGAATATTTAAATATTCATATATTAAAAAGATTACAGTCTTCCACTCGAAAAGTGCAGGATGTCTCCTTTGCTAATGATTAAAAAAATTACATTTTTGGTTGAATGTTCTATTCCAATTATTATTATGAGCATCAATTCTTGGGTTGCACCCACGTGACCTAAACCTTGACAACGGTTGCTATCCGCCATATTGGTGTACAGCGTCCCTTATTTACATAATCTATCAGCTTTAGAAAGCTCGATAATCGTTCCCATGTTTTGGATTTTTCAATATGGTTTTGTGTTTAATGATAAACTGCCATTCAAGAAGTGGTGGCGATAAAGAAGTATCATTCTTTCGTGTGCCATCTGGCTTAAAAAACCAAGGCAAAGATGAAGAAGAATTATCGAAAGAGCGGTGTCAGAAGTGGCTCACCGCCATTAGCAGATAAGGATTAACGCAAGAGATCCTTCAAAATGACAGAGTTTGTTCGCGTCATTTCGTGTCTGGACGTCCATCGAAGGACAAGTTTAATATCGACTGGGTTCCTTCTTTACATCTCGGACACGAAAAGAAAGTAAACAAGTTCACCGAAGCACAGGCTGCAAGATCTGAATGAGCTACTACGCGACAAAAGCGAAGACAGGAAATGGTTGAGGGACTTTCTAAAGTTCAGCTTTTAGATGTTGATGGTATGATGGTAAAAGAATTTACTTTTCATAATACTCCTGATACTGAAGGTGAAGTTGACCCTGATAACTCAGCTGGACATGATCTAAATTTAGATGACGTTTCAACAAATCTAGAGAAAATGAACATTAACGATGCTAAGCTTACTACTCAAACAGAGAGCAAGTCCAAAGGACACTTGATTAATTCAAGCACTCAGACTGAGAAATACGAATACATGTTCAAGGAGACCAAAGACATCCCATTCGAAATCAAAGACCTGAAAGACAATAACAAAAAAGTCCGCTTTTACACAGGCCTGTCTTCGTTTTGCATCCTTAACACAGTATTTGAACATGTGTCTCCATTTGTGACAAGAAAGTCTGTTAGTCTGACAAAATTCCACGAGCTTATGGTGGTGTTGGTAAAGCTAAGACTTGATGTGCCTCTGCAAGACTTAGCTTACAGGTTTGGAGTTCACAAATCAACCATCTCCAGAATATTTTCAACATGGATTAGGGTGATGGAAGTGCGGCTATCTCCATTGATACGCTGGCCTGAATGTGAAGCACTGTGGAATACGATGCCACAGTGCTTTCAGTACTCTTTTGGAAAGAGAACTACTGTAATTATTGATTGTTTCGAGGTTTTCATTGAAAAACCAACCAATTTGTTGGTACGAGCCCAAACTTTCTCCTCGTACAAGCACTATAATCAACTTGACCCCATAGACGTAGAAAAGACAAGAAGTATTGCTAATGTCAGGATCCATGTAGAGAGGGTAATTGGTCTTTTGCGGCGGAAATATACCGGTGACAATTCCCAGTGTGTAGTATCTGCACAAATTCTGAAAAATTCAAAATTTCTGACAGGGCCAAGGGTTGGTCTTTGAAATCCACTTACCAAAGAGTTGACTTTTTCTAAACAAAGGTGTGCTTGTTGAATTATTGTGCAATCAAGCCAGCCAGTGGGAGAGAGAATGGTATTAAAATGAATGTCATTGGGATTACCAAGAGAAGCTTTTCTATTGATCATTCCACCACTTGTTATTTTTGTGATCTCAACTTCATCATCACTGTCATTACTTGTTGGTTGACTGACATTACTTGCTGTGGGTGAGTCAGTTTGAGCTGAGCCAATGTTACAGGGACTAGTAGAACCAATGTCATCTGAAGGTGTCTTTGTGACCTTTATAGAAGAACAAGTGGTAGGGTAATTTTTAACTGCAGATGTCTTGTGCATTGCTGAATGAGTGGTTTTGGCCTTAGGAAGGGTGCCTGCCACTTTACAACTGCTGCATAACCATGTGGTTTGGCCATTGTTTGGCATTCTTTTGTAGCCAAGACAGTTCAAGTAAAAATATTTTCCATTTTCACAAACAGTGTTATGACATTTTAGAAGCTTATCTTTCACATCTGGCTTTGCACCACAGACACATATGCTGTCAAGACCCATGACTACACTGTTCTGCTTGGATTTGTGAGCTGTACTCTGAGCTCTTGATACCTTCTTAGATTTCTGAAAGTTTTTCAGTAATCTACAACTAGGGCAGTACCAAACTTTGGGGACTGGATCTGACATTTACAAGCATGAATAGTGGAATTCTTTAATAAGACACTTGGGATTGCCGCAATGGATGGTTCTTTCCTGAGAATGCACTCTGCAATAACAAGGTTCACTACTACTTGCAGAGGGGAGACTAGTTGTTGGGAGATGTTGTTTTCTTGTGTACCACCATCCTATGATCTCAGGAAGAACACAGGTTCTTTGGTTCTTGGTTAATTTAGGGACAACATTCTCCCAGTGGATGGGGTCTGTTAGGATTCTTTCCATGAAAAAAATTGGTTCATTGCTGGTGTTGAAAGCACAAACAATAAAGTCACAGTATGAAGATCCAGTAATGAAAATTTGCTGCTGAACTTGATAATAATACTTACGTGTTCTCTTAAGTCTGAAATTGTCACCAACTTTCTCTAGGCAGGAACTTTCCTTTGACACATAGCTTTCAAAGTCCCAGTTCTTGATACCCAAGTGGCATTTAACCTCACCGCACCCAGTACCGCAACAGGAACAAGAACAAAGAAAGTCAGGAGTAGCATGCAGCCATGGGTGTTTCTGGTCAATGAAAACACCACATTTAGTAACCTTGAAATCTTTGTGATTAGCTGTCATTACTTTGCTGTATGCTTATACTGCTTTCTCTTCATGCATGCAAGCATGATTTACTGCATCAATGTTGTTAAATTTGAATAACTGGGGATAGCATATGGACTTGATGGTGGTCTGTGCAGGTAGTGCAGGATTTGTTTGAGCCACTGAGTAGCTCTGCGAAGCTCCAATACGACCTGCTCTGTGTCGAAAAAATGCAGCTCCCTTTGATTGCTCCCTTGTATCTTTCTCGATAGCTTTTATTTTTCATCTGAAATTGATAGCTCAATTTCGGAGCACTTTTCTAGTAACTTTACATAGTTCAACGAAGGACTAGCGTCCCAAATGTCAGTACGTTTTTTCATCTTTTCACGGTGTATAATTTACCTTTTCATCATTACTGTTTCATTAGAAACACCGACGCAGCTAACACTAGTTTTTAGCTAGTTATATCTTCTCATAGTTCAACTTAATGTTGTCAGGCTCAAAAAGGTCTTTTATGGTAGGAATTTGGCAACTTTTAAGAATAAAAGACTCTGAATAGAGCTCTATTAAACTGAGGATAGCTGGTTTCTGTTTATTTTCATTCAGTTTAGAGCATTCAGTTTAGAGAAGAGAGTTTGCATTTCCTCATCGGTGGGTTTTCACCGCGGTTTTGTCTTCGTGACCTTTGTCTTCAATTCACCCTCTTTACTACAACTTGAAGGTGCAATGGCGCTATCGAGTTTGTTATCCAGCTCACTTTTTATCCTTCTTGCTGATTTGAAGTTTATGTCACTAACTTCAGAGTAAGACACTTCGTTCACGTATGTCGGGAGAAGCCATGTGCACTTGACCTGGGTACATGCTAACTTGCCATTTATTCTAGTCCACGCTTCGACATAAAATAACACACTAGCTACGTGAGAGCATGGTTCTGCTAGACCAGCTTTGCAGCCTAAACAGTGAGCAGACAGAATTGTACCCTCTTTACTCGATATAATCCATATTGGAATCGGATGTTCGTTCATTCGCTGGGAATGTCGCACTTTGCCGACCACAACAAACTTGTCGCCAATAACTTTACCTTGAACACTTGTAATGAAACCAGAAATCATCTAGTTGTATGCCTCTAAACTTTTAAAAGCCTTGAACTGCTTCAGAGTGTAATAGCTCGTTTCCAGCACGAGATATGACAGAACATCGGTTGCTTTGATCAGGGGAAGACATTCTGGATCTAGCTTTGCGGCTATCAACAAAGCGGGATCGATTCTGATTGCCACTGTTTTCCCCAAATATCGGTATTTAACGTGACTTTCAAGCCGCTCTCCGTACTCAGACAACACAATAGAAGGCTTTTCTTCAATATCTCCCTTTTTTTCTGAGGTATTTCTTTTAGAATCGCTCATAGTAGCTTCTGACATTTGAAAACTTCAACCAAAATACAGCACACGTGGGTGATATTGACGTATGGAAATGAGCATCCTGTACACCATCATGGCAGACGGTAAATTATGCTTGTGAGTGTGACGTCACGTGCAACCCAAGAATAATAATTAGAAGAAATATTAAGAGAACATCTTACTCAGTCTTAGTATTTTGGTAATTATTACAAGGTCATGCACAGTAGCAGTGATTCGTTGTTAGTTTTTTGATATTGTCTTATCTTATAAGGTTGCTGTTAATTTTTTCCTTTTCTATTTTTTACCAGAAGGGGAGCATTTGAAAGAGGAAATCCTTCAGGTAGGACATGACAACGCTTTTGTTAATATGCAGACAAATTATTCTCCTGGCTTACCATGAAAAAAAATTTGTATTGTTAGGCAAAGGATATGATCCAACTATGAGAGGAAGGCTATCAAGTGATACAACATGGGATAAAAATGAGAAGGGTGGTCATGAGAACTGGCGAGCAGGAGTACAACATGATGCAGAAGATGATGGAGGTGGATGGAGAGTTTCTGGTCACCGTTATGCTGACAAATCAGATCGCTGGAGAGGAGGTACAGTATTCAATAACAAATTCAGAAAAATCTGCAGAGAAGTCCATGAAATTACATTTTTTCCTGTGTTAATTGCATGTTACTTAGGGCCAAGGATAACAAGAAGCTCATCTTGGAGAAATTCAGACTCATTTCGTGATGAAAGAAGCTTTACAGAAGAAGAGTGGCAGGTTGCTCGAGGTTCTCGTGTAAGGTCTTTTCATGAACGCGATGACAGGTGGAATAATCCTAGTGAACCTGAGTGGTGTAAAGATGATGATTTCGAAGACCTTGATGTTACAGGAACTTTTGATTCATCTGGGGCATTTAGATCCCGAAAGGTAATTGTAAGTCTTTAAAAAAATAATTACTATTTCCAAAGATAGAGTTTCCTTTATTTCCGTACCATATATGATATGAGATATTATTTATCATGATTTGACTTTGCTTAGGGTAGAATACAGTACAGCCCAGATGTATGTCACGGTGTACACGCGTGTAACACTCGTGTACACCGTTAGCGGAGTACACTCGTACTAGTGTAGTCCGTGCTTTGAGACATGGATGCACTACACACGTTTGAGTGTAATATTCTTTTGTTACACAGTCTTTGTTTCATAACAAAGACCATAGAAATTCCGTATAAATATCATTTATATTCCACGCTTACACGTGTATTCCGTTCAACTGGATTAATCCAAACAATTTCAAATCAGAGATATACATGTATTGTTCAACTGGATATTAAGTGAAATCCAAACGATTTTTTAAATCTTTGCTTCGAAAACAAAAACCTCTAAAAAATATAACTTAATATTTGATCAAACGAATAAATGTTACAGAAACACTTATATTTAAAAAGTTCTGTATTCTTTCATGCGTCTACGTGTCAGGTCAAGTATTTTACGTGCATGCTGGAATGCAACCGAAATAGTCTGCATTTTAATTATCCTGTCCATTTTATTTTAGAAATTTGTCTTTATTTAGAAAATTGAGACCAAATAACAACTGCTTCATTGTTTACCGGATAGTTCTCCTAATTTATATACGTATCTTAGCATCCAAGAATTACTTTTTTATTTTTCGTCGGACGTAGCCATCTGAAGTTCTGTGCATGTGAGAATTGCAACTAATTAAGTCCGGGTAAATATGAAGGAGTATTTTTCGATTCTAGGATTCAGATCTTCAAAACTAAAAAATAATTAATTAGAAAGTAGAATGAGGTTGGCTCAAATTTCTATATGAATACTTTTTTCCCCGAGTTTCTATTCAAACACTTGTCTTAAAGATAAATTCCGAACGTTAACAGTTTGATTATTGAACTGGCACCAGGGCATACCACGGCAAATTACACTTGAAGATTTTTTTGTTTCAATATTATTTTTATGAAAATATAAGTGTGGCTAGAGAAGCCCAAACTTTAACATCAAAAGAATATGATTTTACGTAGGAAAAGAAAAACATCTGTGTTATCACCCATTCAGCGATCAACAAATACATTACGAATCCCTCGGGAATCAGACTGAAGTTAATGAGCTATTGGGCTGCGTGTAATTTTGCCGAGTTTTTAGAGTGGACTACACGCGGATGGACGGACTACACTAATATGAGTGTACTCCGTTAACGGAGTGCATGCGTGTTACACGCGCGTTACCGTGACATACATCTGGGCTGTACTGTATATAAATAGTTAACTAGAAATTTTCTCATTGTGTGGTCCATAAAACTTTGAATTTTTACATATTTAGTGAAAATCATTACGTCACGACCTGCCGTTTCAAAACCCTGATTGGATTTTGGCCTTTTCCGAGCCGTCAATCATCTTGGGTTTATGCAGATGAAGTCTACGAATACGTCGGCCATTAACTCATCTTTTTGCAAACATCTAAAATAGCTCAGAAATATTCCAAGCAGTTGCTATGGAGAGTAGTTTTAAAGTTAAGAGAAGGCTGATCAACCAGGTGAATGTAGGCAAAGATCAGGAAAGTGAGAAGCCTTAAAGCAGTGATTTTCCAAAGCCTTGAAATTCGAAGCCTAAACATTCAGTTCCTGAATTCTTTGGAATTTAATACAAACCTGGGATGAAACACTGACATCAACACATTTCTACTAGTAATGTGCAAACTACTGTCTTAACCACAGGTTGCTATTGAAACTTTTAAAGTAATACTACTAAACATATTTACCTTGTCCATTCTGAAAACAGTAAAAAAATGTTGCTAATGATAAATATTGTAGCACAAAATTTTAAGTTTGATAAGGATGAGCAACTATGATGGCTTTAATCAAAGGAAGAAGACTTCAAAACAACTTTCCATCGCAATTCCTTGGAATATCACCATAAACCCAAGATGATTGATGCCTCAGAAAAGACCAAAATCCAATCAGGGTTTTGAAAGGGTGGGTTTACTTTATTGATCTTTCAAAGAATCTGCTTTTTTCCACCCCAAGGCTACGTTATTTTCTATTGAATTTGACCTTCTAATCTCAAAATTTTATGTAGTTCTACCTTTCAATAGAAAAATAATGGAGCAATAAAAAGCAAATTGCCATATCAAATATAAATCTGTGAGACCATGTGTTCCATAAAGGAAATTGCTGTTTATCCAAAATAAATTTAAAGAAATGCCCATTACATATGAAATCCATGCTAAATAGCCTTTTATAAAATGTTTATGTGACTTGAATTATTTTTCTTGCTCATATTTTGCTTGATTATAGAAAGAGGACAACAAAAGTAATGTGGATGTTGAAGAAGAGAAATATAAGGAAGAAAACCTACAAGCAAATGGGAACAGCGAAGAACTGGTAAGCCTGATAGCATATGTATGCTCACTCTGTATGTCTGCATAGTCTTGCATAATAATACTGTCTGAGCTGGTAAGCCTGATAGCATATGTATGGATACTCCGTATGTCTGCATAGTCTTGCATAATAATACTGTCTGAGCTGGTAAGCCTGATAACTTACACATGAATATAAGAGCTAGTCTCCTACGCAGCCCCTATTAGTTTTGTCACACAACGCTTACTCCCCTAAGTAGCAGCTGCTTGCCAGAGCACAACATTCCATTCCCTCAAATTAACCAATCACAGCTCTAGTCCCAAAATCGAGAACTAACTCAAGACATTATCACTACAAAATGGCGCACTTCGAGAAAGTGTTGGAGAAAGTGAGCACAAAATTTCAAATAACGGCTTTTAACAATTATCAGAGGGTAGCTATATGTTTCATAGTAGAAGAGAAAAGAGATGTGTTTATAAATCTGCCGACAGGGCTTCGGAGAATCTCTTGTTTTTCAAGCTTTGTGATGATGACCTTACGAATGAACAAGAACATGATACTTGTTGTTGTGTCACTCCTGATCAATCTCATAACAAGCTACTATTATTGACATTTATCTTAGCTGTAGAACTGTAGAACATTTCCTTTAACTGAAGAGATTTTGCTGCCCCTCTAGAGCTGATCACGAGTACAATTTTCAAACTTTAAGAGGACTTTGTAGCAAGCATTGTTATACAAACGAACAAACTTTGTGATTAATTATTCAAATCCATGTCAATCACAGATATGATAAGACTTGAAATATCTCCGAACTTTTGTCAAAAACGAAAAAAAAAAGATCTTGTTATTCTTCAGACAAGATTGAGAACAGAGATCATTTATCCTCCCTTTCAGTTAGTTTTCGGGGAATGTTGATTATTCTCCTGCTTCGAATGGAGCGGTAAATCAATGTCACACTGTTTACTGATTGGTTAATCACAGACAAAGGGAATGGAATGTTGGGCTCAGGTAAGCAGCCGCTACTTGGGGGAATAAGCTTTGAGTGAAGAAACTAATAGCGGCTGCGTAGGAGACTATATAAGAGCAAACATTAACCAAATCTTACAATTGATTCTTCAAACAAATCAAAGTTACTTATTACAGTTATTTTTCAAATCACACACTTTTTTTTTTACATTACCCCTTAAATGTAACTTATCATGTCTCGTATCACAAGACAGGTTTATTGTATTGCACAACAAGTTTATTGTATCGTAAATCTAGCCTCATTCACCGGTTGTGAAGTATGCATTTAGTGCATTTAGGTGTAATAAAAAGCCAAATTCCAATGTCAATTACCATTGTGTTCATAACTATGAGCTGACACCAGTTGAAATTTCATTGGAAATTTGGAGAGTCTCTACCCGCAATCAAACAGTTCAGATTTATTAAAGTGGGACATTTAAATGAATATGAATACTGTCTAAAGTGGTAAGCCAAAACACATGCATGGATACTCTCTATGTGTACTTATTCATGCTTAATAATGCTGTCCGGACTGGTAAGCATAGTAGATGCATCATCATAGATAATAATGTTGTTAACCTCTATCAATTTTGTCCTGAGGTTTTGTTCAAGAAAACACTTAGGAAACAGGTAGTAATACTAGCAGTATTGTCCTTTTTTTAAGGCAAATGATCAGGCACAACCAGAAAATGATGAAAACAAGGCAAATGATGAAAAGCCTCCTCAGGCAAAACAAACAGGTAAAAATTTTTGTAATAATGCAGGGCTTTATGCAGTGCTTGTTCATATAAATTATGTGACTGTTGTTTAACTATAATGGTTTGACTATCTTACTGTAGAAAAATCAAATACTGATGTTACCTCACCAGAAACAGCAGAATCCAAATCAACAGTAACAACACAAGAAATGGTACAACCTTCCTCATCTCTGGCAACTGCTAGTCAACCAGTAACATGTTCCTCTGCGCTGGAAACAGAAAAGACACCAAGACAAATAGAGCAATTTGGCAACAAGTCTGAAAATAAAAAATATGAAGAATGTGAATCAGATAAGAAGGATGAGGAACCAAATATGGAGCACTTTGCTAAGGCTGCAGAAAACCTTGTTAAGTCTCTGGATGATGAGGTAAAATATATATACAGAATAATGCTTGTTGTAAGATTCAAGAAAATGAAAATGAAAACAAATATTTTACAGGTTGAAAAGTCTGATCCTGATAGTCATCCTCCAGGCTTCCATGGTCAGACTGCAACAACTCCCACAAGTCAGCTTGAAGAGATAAGATGGTTCTACACAGATCCACAGGGGAAAATGCAAGGTAGAGGATAATTTGACAACCCCTATCAGAAAGCACCTAGCAAAAAGTATGCTCAATGTGGAGTTACACAGCAAGCAACCAAACAATTAACTTGTTTTATTCGTTACATCAGGTCCATTTAAGAACACAGAGATGGCTGATTGGTTCAATCATGGTTATTTTACAATGAATCTTATGATAAAACGATCAATAGATGAAGCTTTTCAACCATTAGGTATGCAGTCTTTAAGTTCCTTTTTTTCTTATTATTATTTGTTTATTGCAATGTTACTAACTAGATAATGTAATATTAGTACATACCTGCATTACTTACTTGTTAAGGGGTGTTTCTATGTTTATGACAGGTGATTTAATCAAATCATGGGGCAGAGTGCTATTCCTTCCTGGTCCACAACCTCCTCCATTGAAGGTAACTTGGAATGCAACCATTTAGAATCTAATTTTCAATTTATTTTATTTATTTTATTTTGTTTTTTTTCATTTTTTATGAAATTTTACAAATCTTTGCTACTTTTCCCTCTTGTATTGATCATGGAAATTAACTTGTAATACGACCATTTTATAATCTAATTTTTGATTTTTCCTCCATTTATGAAATTTTACAATTTTTTGCCACTTTTCTTTTTGTAAATTATTTGAAATAGGTTCTACATTGAGATTTGTTAATTGATATTATACAGGGGATACCTGATCAACTCCAACAGCAACATCTTCTTGCTCAACAACAACAACAACAACAATATCAACAACTCTTGCAACAACACATGATGCAGCAACGTTTTCTCCAGCAACAAGCACTCATAATGCAGGTATGATCTGCCTTCTGCATTATATCATTAGGGCATAGTTAGGTTTATCAAGTTTTTGTTTGATTGATCTTTAGCAACAACTTCACATGCAGCACCAACAAGAACAAGTGCCTACTACTGCAGTATCGCCTCAATCAACTACTACACACATGGATATACCACCACCACACATGCTACAATCAACTTTGGAACATCAACAGCATTTACAGCAGAAAGTACAAGAGCTGCAACAGCACCACCAGCAACAACCACAAGCTCTATCAGTATCATCTGAATCAATATGGGCAGGTTCTGGAGCTACATCTACTTCTCCAGGTAAACATAATATTCTACAAATTTGAAACTATTTATATAAAAAATATTTAATATTGTTCATTTCAGTGAACAACAGTATTCAAGCAACAATCGCAATGATGTCACCTTCAAAACACATATGCGTCATAATATTTGAGGTTGCACAACAGTACTCTGTCAAAGGAGAGATTGTTTTTTCCCCATGAAATATATTTTATTATTTATATTAATTATCTAATTTAGCTTGTATACTTTTGTAATTAGTTTTTATAATTAGAAGGGCAATTGAAAATTACCTACGATAAATTCGTTAAATAAAGTTCTTCTTCTTCTTTTTTTTTTTATTGTATATAAATGGAGGGGCTTATAAGGGGGAGGAAATTTCTGTTAGCAGATGGCTTGGATTATATGCGGGGAGATTCTAACAACCATGATTTTATGGTGTACTTCACCACATAATAATTAGAATTGTTGTGTGTTCCTACTAGTTATATCACCTGGTCCTTGGTCACAAGTCACCACTGCAAGTGTAGCAGCTGGTCCATCACCTCCTTCTCCTTTAAGGGGATGGGATGTTGAACATGGGTAAGTTTGGCTGAAGTACTACTATACCTAGCTATTTGTTGTTTTTGTGGTCAGTTAATAATGATAACATAATACAATAGTCTTTTATTTATATATTTGTTTCTTCAACGTTATTTATTTTATAACCAAGCTACGAGCACATCTTCTGGGCTAAGAATAAGTTGTTGCTTCATTGCAAAGAACAAACAATTGTGTGCTCATGCACACTTACAATAACCAATAGACATAAAGGGAAAATATATAAGCATATAAAGGATAATGAAAAACTTACATGTGAGAGCGCTCTGCTAATAAATGAATAAATGAATGATTAGATAAATGATTAGATAAATAAATAGATAAATAAATGAATAGATAAATGAATAAATATGACTTGATAATAGGAGCATAGCACTCTGAGAGAACTCTACTGTGTTATCTCTATTGAATATTTTTGTTCTTTGCAATGAAACAACCACTTATAAATAATGATCAAACGTACGTACCGAACCATTCTAGTCTTTTATTTCTTTGTGAATACATTGTCTTGGTCAAGTAATTTATAAGTGTGAACTGCAAACTTACTATAGATACTTCAATTCAGTAGAATGTTTAACATACAAATTAATTGATTTAATTCAAAGGAACAATGAAAAAATCCAATCATTACAAGAAATACAAAAAAAAGAAGAAGAAAATGAGCTTGCAATCAAGGTAAATGTTGCTGTTAACAATCATCATGACTGTTTTTTCTAAATGTAAAATTCACTATGAACAATAATTCTTGTGCCTAGCTTGAAAATGAAAGAAGAGAAGCAGCTATAAGGAAAGAAGAAGAACTTAGGAGAAGGCAACAACAGGAATACTTGTTGCAAAGACAAAGAGAACAAGAAGAGAGAAGAAGACAAGAAGAAATAGAGAAAAAGAAGCGTAAGCAAGAGGAGCTGTTAAAGGTTGGTATATAGGCTATCATAGTCAATGTGCACCCCTTGTAATTAAGCAAGCTATCTTTTTATTGGTGTAATTCTACAGAAACAGGAAGAAGAAGCAAGACGACATCAAGAAGAAGAATTACAGCAACAAAAACGAGAACAAAAGCAACAAGCTGCACGCCAAAAGCAGTTAGAACAGCAGAAGAGACAAATGGAAGAACAAAAAATGGTTGAAATGAGAAAACAACAACAACAGGCCCTTGCACGCCTTCAGCAACAGCAACAAGAACTACAGCGTAGAAAAGAAATAGAAGAGCAAAAACAAAAGGAGTTGCAACAAAAGCTACACCAAAAAAGACAGCAAAGTCAGGTTTGTGCCTTCAAATACTACTAGTGTTAGATCTTAGGGTACTTCACAGTTTGTGCAATGTTATAAAACTTGGGCACGTTCTTGAGACATGTTTTACCTTTTTTAACTCGTGGACATGTGAAGCATAGAAACAAGTTATTGTGAGGGGTCTGAATTACAAAAATGTGTCACTCACTCACTCACTCACTAAGATGTTAGCAGATTAATAATTAAACTTTTGTTGATCGTTTTACGTCATCTGATTATGAATGTTTCAAGACACTAACAAGCACAAAGATCTTATACAATATAGATTACTTTGTTATTTTTATGAGGAAACGAAATGCTGATGTTCCATGTGGGATATATTTCTAACACTCGCACATAGTAAATTAAAGTAAAATTATACAATTAACACCTGAAATAAAATTTCAATGAGTTAGACCTTTTTTCTGATGTACTTTAAAAAGTAAACAAAATCGCTTATTAGGTACAATGTCAACATTTTGATTTTTCAGTAGACTCGTAGATCGAGCCGGTTATCGAAAAAAGCTATTTTAATTAGAACTCAAGAAGAGAGTCTTATTTCAAGCTCTGACAGACTTTTTTCTCCATAGAGACAGCTCAAAGTCACAGCCGTATTCAGCAATAAAATCTCATAAACTCGACCGAGGGAGGTTTTAATATTACTGATCAACAGTTGTATTTACTAAGTGACATCTTAAGAAAATAATCAATGTAGATGAACATAGATTGTAAGAAAAATAGCAAAAGACAAAAAAAGAACGATTCCAATGGAGTTTTGAAGGAAGTTCGGCCAGTTTTGTCATTTATATAAGCCATTCTGAATAAAAAGTTGATTGATCATCACGCATTACGAACAGCCGAAGCAATGCTCAGATTGTATGTTGAAAAGTGTGAAGCTCTAGCAAGAATTTGCTCCAATAAATAATCATTAATTTACCGACTTGGATGAAGACAAAATAAATAGCATTTCTAAATGAATTTCTATAAAATATTTGCTTAGTTCGCAGTGTAAATAAATAGTTTCATTTAAAAACTTAGGCAACAAATGAAGGAGCCGTGACCCTTAAAGGTCAAGGTAAGTAGTAATGTAAATCAACACGCATTACGCAACGCTTTATGTTGATCGTCCTGATTGTACCATAAACAACCGATTATCTCGTATATTCAGTTTTGAGCTTGTAGGTCAAATGATTCCTGGAATAAAGCACACATCCCGCCTTTGAAATTGAAAACAGAGAAAGCATTTTCAAATAGATCTTCTTCCAATTATACTCTATAATTGACTCAGTTGACTCTTAAAATTGTAGTTGAAGTCGTCTTTCATATTAATTGAAGTTCAGACAATTAATTCATCGCAGAATTCGCTTCCAAACTCAACAAAATAGCAAAGAACTAAGGACGATTGCTCATCTTACTAGATAAATTGAGTATTTAAAATATTAAATTGAGCGAAATATTTGGAATCCTTTGAGAATGTCCACAATCATAAGGAGGGCACTGGAAGACCAATCTTCGAAAAATGAAACAAGTATCCACGAGTTCGCCAAAGGGCGTTTGATTTAGGTTCTGATGATGATAAATAAGCCAGTCACTGTAAAGATCTAACCATTTGACCATAATTTTAAAACAAAAGAATGACTTTTACTAATAGAGGTACACCTAAGCAGACCTGGTGCCAGTCTTACACTAAGCTCACTGCATATGTTAAATTTTAGTGGTGACACCTAAGTATCTTTTTTTGGTCACAGAATACAAGCAATTCTCTTTGGGGTCCAACACCATTACCTGCAGCCCCATCACTAACAGAAATACAGGAACAACAAGAAAAGCGAGAACGTAGTGCACAACAAGAAAAAGAACGACTGGTGCAACAAGAAAGAGAGCAGAGAAATGCAGCCGCTGCAGCAGCAGCAGGAGGATGGACAGAAAGAAACAACCAAGGAACATCAAGTGTAAAATCACTACTTGAGATTCAACAAGAACAGGAAAGACAGCAACTTGCAAAGAAGGAGAACCAACAGTTATCACGTTCACATGTGAGTTCTTTATATTTATAAAAGCATAAATAATAATAATCTATAGTTCTCATATCCATATAGCCCACAGGCGCTTTATAACAAAAATTATGAAATAACTGGAAAAAGTATAAAATTTAATAGGATAATATTAAATCTAAGCAGAATCTTAGTGAACCTTTGTTTTTCTTAATAAATTGACTTTTTTGTATTTGATCATAGCCGTCCTCTCATAACCCCTTAAGTTCAACTGTATGGGGTAACAATTCTTCTGCACTATCTTCATCTTGGACCTCACCTGTTTCAAGTACACCTTCTATCATTGCCTGGGGGGGAGCCAGCAAATCAGCAAAACAACCTTCTAGGCTTGTAGGGCTAAGTAATGATGAGGATGACAATGACGATGATGATGAAGAAGAAGAAGAAGAGGAATCTTTCTGGGATGAAGCTGTCAAAGAAGCAAAAAAAGCAGGACAAAATAAACAGCAATCAAAATCACAACAACAACAGAGAAAACAACAACAACAGCAACAGCCTAAACCTCAGTCTGTTCAGCCAGCCAAGAACAGGCAATCAAGGTAATTTATCTATATCATTCAGACTAAGAGTCTACACTACATAGGTGCAACATGGCATGGCACACAGGATTATCAAGGTTATCACAGCACAAGTTATCATCATAATCATAACACTGCAAGGCTGTTCCTTGAGTTTTCCAAATTTATATGAAATGTGCTTTAACGAGTTAAATGAATTCAGTTAGGGATTGGTCAAATAGTAAAGGGAGAGTGGATCTCTACTGGCCCAGTATTAAATAAGGTTAAAAAATAACAAGTTTTCCAGTAGGAATTGCATTTAAATGACCCACCCCTGCAAAATGAAGATGTGTGCAGAGATGTAGCTATAAAAAAAGTTCAAGATGGGAATTGTCACTTAATAGGTGGGTAATAGGCTGAAGGCCCATTTATCATTCCACAAGGTACAATACAACTAGAAAGACATTTTAAAATCTAGCTAGGCTCTTGGAATGGTTTTCTCTTGATTTTGGAGGTAATCTTAAGACAGTTCTATATCATCTTCAGCAAACAGGAATCATGGTTTTCTCTTTAATAAAGTTCAGCTCTATTTTAAAATTACCTTTTCAGCCAGAAAATTCAGCTGAGGGCCGAGTATTTTTTCTCTTCTCCAGGCTATTATCTATTATCATTTTATCCCTGTGTAAAACATAAAATTTCAAATAGCTATTGTAACATGTAACATATAATATTGTGCTGAGTAAAGAGGAAGTATTTCAGCAACGTTGCCCCCTATCTTTTTACCATTCTTTGTTATAATTTATATAAAGTTAAATAGAATTTCAAATAGGCTGATGGTTTACTTCATCATATAAGAGAGGCCCACAAGGCCGCTTTTATCCTTGGAGGGTTTAGCGACATGCCCTATCAGAAAAGTTTGAAATGTAGAAGCTTGGAAATGCAATTTCCATCTATCTGTGTACATATACATGACCTTCTCTACAGATTTATAGAAAGCCCATCCCCTTTTAAGAGTTCCCCACCTCCATTTACTTTATTACCAGTCCCTTAGTGAGTATCACAATAGCTTCCTATGGTTGTCTTTTTTTAGTAATGCTGCATTTCCTGGTCTTGGAAATAAAACTCAATCAAAACGGACAACTAAAGATGAGGTAATTAAAAATGCACTTTATTGCCTGGTTATGTCTGTTAGTAGAGGAATTGTGCTTGAAAAAGCTGTTTTTATTTGTACATGATATTTAAAATAGTTAAATAACACTAAAGTGATTGATTGTTACATTGATTTATCAGGAAAACATTCGTCGAATATTCCAACAGCAATCCAGTGCTTCTGATGAATTTGCACGATGGTTTGAAAAGTCTTTAAAAGCCTTGAAAGTTACTTCTATTGATAGTAAGTTTAACACACCAATGTTTTGTTAGCACTATTACTGCCCTTTTCATAAACATGATACCAACTCAGTAGCTGCAAGCTGCTCTCTGAAATTTGGTTTTTCTCTGCCACCAATCAAAACTAATCAGTCGGTACTTTTCATGTTCTTGACTGGGTGCAGCTAAAAACCAAATTCCAGCATGAAGCTTGCAGCTAACCAGTTGGCATGTTTATGAAAATAGCATTAAGGCTCATTATTTGTTGTTGAGCCAATTAATTGAGTTGCTTTCTTTTTTTCAGTTCCTACTTTCTTTGCTTTTCTCCAAGAGATTGAATCACCTTATGAGGTAATTAATACCATTTGTGGTTTAATTGCCAATGTTTTAATGTTTGTTAAGATGATATCATATTAATTTTCATTCAAGGTTCATGATTATGTAAAGTCCTACATAGGTGACAATAAAGAAGCCAATGAATTTGCTCGGGATTTCATTGAACAAAGGAAGAGAATTTATTCACGTCAACTTCAAAATACTCTACCAACATTACCACAGGTAAAACATTACTATATTATCTTGGCTTGTTCAATTTGTTAGAGCTTTTATGTGAAAGTCTTACTCTATTTTAATTTAGGAATGTTTGTGGGGAAATGTTAACCAGAAGCCTCAATCAAACAAGAGTGGTGTGAGCCAGCAGGTACCACAAGAGGAATGTATGCAAGCAGATACAACAACAAGCAAGAAAAAGAAGAAGAAGAAGATGCAAAAAGTTGATCCTAGAATACTAGGATTTAGCGTCAATGCTGCAGAAAGAGTCAATATTGGAGAGATACAAACACTAGAGGATGCATAAAAGAAATGACTACCACTTATGAAGATTTACTTTCTACCAAACCTTTCTATTATCATTTGTATTTGAAGCAGCTTTGTGACTTGTTTTATAAACTCCAACTCCAACTGAAGTCTGATTCACTTTTTGTACTGGACAAAAACGGCATTCATAACTGGATGCAAGGAATCAGGCATTACAGGTAGTGTAGGTTAGCCAATAGAGAATACCAAAAGCAAAACTTGCATGGATGGATGTCAGAAAAATTTGCTCTGCATGAATATAATAGTTTATTACCAGTATACTGGGAATTTAGCTGCGTCAAGAAAACCGTTACACTATTGTACTCATGCAAATGCCCTTAATGGAATGCATCTTACATGGGGCGAAGGGAAAAATATGACTATGCAAAGTCGGGGGCAGATTCAGAAATCAGAGGGGATATAAACATTCATTATTATAATTAGATGAATCTCACTACTAATGGGAAGCAAAACCAGATAAGGTCTGGGGACATGCTCCTTGCAACAAAAAACTTATTATATGGTTTCTAGAAGTTTTATTTCCTTTGACCTTGAATGTTTTATAGGGGGCCTATATAGGCAGCCCAATCGGCCGCCTCTAAATCCACACCTGCCATTACCCAAAATAAAGAACAATATCCAAAATATTGGTTGCCCACTTTATTGTTAGCAGAAGAAAGTCAGGAAAGTTAATGTACAGTAAGAAAGGTTTTGGTACAGGGAGAGCTAGATAGTTTAACTATTATGAAATGTAATGTACAAAGACAAATGAGTTCACTAAGTTTGTACAAAATTGAGGTATATAAGTTTGTCCAAAAAGACTAAAAACTTGTTATGTTAAGTTCAATTCATATTCCTACTTGCATCAATGGTTATATATCAGTATCTTGAGTTTTGTGTTATTTTGGCATTATTACAATAGGCCATTTTGCAATAACTTACGAATTTCTCACTTGCTGATTGGTTATTTTTTACCAACAATAAGAGGACAGACAGATAAAGCTGACGTCATTGAGCGTGCCATCCTTCCGTTGGTTGTTTTGATTGCTAAAAATTAGATTTTTTTATCGTTTTCAAAATTTGTAAGTTATTGTAAAATTGTTAACTTGCAATAGGTCACATAACTCTTTTGTTTGCTTAGATTCACTCCTAGATATGTACTACTAAACTGCACCCACTTGATTCATGTTTTTGTCTACATTTCTTTCCAGTGAACATTTCTTTCTACAAGTAGCATTAAAGGTTAATTTTCAGAGACAGATCTAAGCGACATACCCTCTATTTCTCGTAAACTTCAAAGTTTTGTTTGGTTTTTACAGTCATATCCAGTAACCATGATACTGTCTTCCATCCATAGTGATCAATGCTGACCTCCCATTTTCAAAATCCTAGATCTGCTCTTGTTGAGGACACTTTGATCTCAATATAGCCATACTTAGGTGACTCATATTTGGTATGATGTATTTTCAACATCCTAAAGCATGACCTATGGTTACAGATTTGAATGCAGACAAAAACGTATTTAAAGGGGTGGTGTCAGACTAGGAAGAAAAACAGTAATGATTTGAACTTACTACACAGAATATGGTTACAAGCATTGTTAAGTTATTGGATCAAAGCTGGACTAGGGACCTCTAAAATCTTATTAGGATGTCTCATGTTTTAAACTTGTAAGCACATTGTTTAAAACATCAAACAGACTGTTCCCTGCCACATAATCATTGTCTACCAAGTTAATAAGGTAAAATGTTTCTTGGATAGTTTTGATTACGTCTCTAGAAGGTGATCCCTCAGGGTATAGGTTTCTCCACTGTTGATTCCAAAGAGCAAAGGCCTCGTCCTGCAAAAAAGTATATTCAGACACCTCAAAAAAACACCTTTTATAATTCCTTATTTTTAAAACGCTCTAGTATAATTACGAATGCAATTTGGATTAGCCAAGTTCTTATCTGATCTTACCTGGATAAGAATGTATAATTTTTATCTAAAAAGTAAGTAAATGCTACTACTTACTTTCCAGAACTGAAATGCAATAGGATCAACTACAGTTGGTTGAATAACTTCTGACCCAGGAAAAACACCCCATGTAACAGCATTAGGTGAGTAGATATTAGCATTGGTAAGATTATCACCCTAAAGAGAACAAACTAATGTAAACATAGGAGCATCAATCTGTATGCATGGATTTAAAATGCCATGAAAATGTACAAATGATTTGTATATATAGGCCTCACAATAAAGCCTTACCTTTAATAAAATTTATCATATCAATATTAGCAAAACTGATCTTTTGTTTTGTAAGCACTTTCCATAATCCAGAAAAAATATAACAATGGAAGGCAATTTAGTGTTGCCTGGTTACATACAATTTTTTCATAAGCTTATTTCTGATTTCAAAAATTCATTAGCCTTTAAGCTAAAAAAAGTGCAATCTTATGGAACTTAGCAATATTATTTTGTTAATGTTGATGTCAAACTTTGGAATGTAAATTTCTTTTCCTATTAAAATCAAAAAAGTTTTTTTAGATGTTTCATTAGCATAATAAAGGTCTATTGTGGAGTTCCAGAAATCCTCATATCCATACCCATCCCCGCCCCACCACAGAGGAATTGTTTTTGGACCCCCCCCCCCCCCAAATTTTTAAAATTATTATCCATACTTACACATGATTTTACCATGTGAAAGTTGATGCGTTTGCTGTCTTTGAGCTGCTTGTATATTTCATTGGCAACTTCTTCTCTTGCAAAAAACTCTATATATGCCTTAATAATAACACCAAGACCTATTAATAATTCTGATCTCATGGTGGATCAGTTGATATGAATTTCATGTAACGTACCCCTATACAAACTTTACAATGAAAATTCCAATTAGTTACAACCACTAGCAGATGTATATCGTTCTGATACAGCTCTAGTCATTGTAAGTAGCATAACATATTATGAACTGACTATTTGAAGACTGCATTACATCTTATTACGTTCAAAATGTCCAGGGCAAATGATATTTATTCATTTATTTCACAAGTATAGTTTACATTCCATGAGCAGCAATATTCATATCAGATCTAAATCAATGATTGACTTCAGCTTGTACTTGCAAATCTGATACCTCATATGGCTTCTCATATCAAAATTCTTATACATACCTAAGAAATAATATATAAAATTACATACCTTTTGAAAAACATAGCCTCCAGGTTTACCCCATCCTACTCTTGGATCATCTGATGGAGCACCATTGACACATGGTTGACTGTTTATTGTCAATATGCCTTCTTTATTGATGTCTACCAAATCCTTTACTATGGACATGGTCTCTGTTGCAATTTCATCTTCTGCCCATGGTAGTTGGGTTACCTAGACAACCAGTATATGATTGCAATATTATTGAAAGTACACAACAACATGCTATATTTAAATTTCAATGTAACAGAATCTTGACATGTCTTACTGATAATATGCATTATCATCAGGTTTACATGTATCATTTACAAACCTTGTATCCATGCCTGTTTTCTTTTCCAGTAAGATAACAAACAAAAATTTCACACACATCATGAAAGGAATGCAGTTCTCTTCCCCACATGTTCAACAGGTCATTTCTGCTCAGATTTGTACCCATCAGAAATAGGTGATAATCTTTTATCTGACCAAAAGATGCAGCACTTGAATCTCCCCATCGACCATTTGGCATTTCATCCCAGTTGGAAGTTCTAATTAGATAACTTCTTGGCCTTGTGGCCCAAAATATTGGTCGCACATTATCATCACTACAAGTTTCATTATGCTGCAATGAATTACCAAGGTCAAGATTTTGTGTAATCCTTTTCAATGCCGTTTCCAAATTAAAAGTATAAAAATGGATGCCAGGTACATCACAGCTTGCAAGTAGTTGTTGGCACATGTTTACTGCATACTGAACACCAAAATCAATAACTGCATCATTGTCATCTTTAATTGGAGTGAGAGATTCAAAGATGTGGTCTGGTATGTTGACAGCTAGTGTTCTTTTCAGCTGACGGAGGGAGCTAACACTCTACATTAATAAAAAAATATATGAAACTGGTTAATATTTAAAGTTTCTTTCATTTAGTTAGCATTTTTACTTTACAAAAATAATGTAAATGAGTAATTATGTATATAAATCAATCAGTTGTACATTGCACATCCCTACCAACACTATTGTTTCTCTGATATAATATCATAGATAGTTGTATGAACTTGCACATGTTAGAAATATGATACATTGGCCATGCATAGTGTAGTTAGGTTTACCTGTATAGGAAATATACCAGGAATGATTGGCACATTGATGCCTATGTTACGACAGTCTTTAACAAAGTTAAAGTAGAAATCCACCTCAAAAAACATCTGGGTAGTGATAAAGTCTGCACCAGCATCTACTTCAATTTTCAGTTTACGTAGATCTTCCTCATAAGAGCTTTTTGTTTTAAAACCAGATGGGTAGCCTATAACAAAATGTATATTCACCTTAGGGTTAACCCTGTCATTGACAAAGTTGATAGGCGATAGAAGAAAAGCAACAGGAGATAGGTCATTCCAAGATCCAAGAATAGCTGGAATGACTTGTGTTTCTGCTTCTTATTCTTGTCAAGAAGATAATATGTGTATGAGAATAAATATGAAATGTATATTTGTACTGCGGTTGTAATTTATCAAATTTTATGCTGATCGTCGCAGTATACTCCACATTTGGGATACCGCTTGTGTTCATCAAATCTATTATTATTATTCTAATCCAGCAGCTCAACATATAATATGGACTTGCTATATGAATGTCCAAATTCCAATCCCAAATTCCACATATCCAATACTATCCAATATGATGCAATTCATGGGTACATCATTTTGTAAAGCCATTACACATTTGGCATGTAAGACTGGGTATATACACCTATTTCAGAAATCAATGTCGCACCAAAAGCTTCAAGCAACAAGCCAAGACCACAGAGAACGCCGGTACTTTTAGCTGATGCAATTAGTTTATTCATGGTGCATTTTCATATATTGACTTTACAAATTTCTCCAAGCAAGGCTGCTTGAGATGATAATAAATTAGTGGAGAGCTATAGCCACTTGCGTCAACCATGAAAAAAATCAATTATAATTAAAAGTACCAACATTCTCTGGAGCCTTGTCTTGTTACTTGAGGCTCTTGGTGAGACAACGATTTTTGAAATAGGTGTATATATATACCTGTAACTGCAATAGTAAAGTGGTGTCCAAATTCATGTTTTACAAATCTGATCAACTGCTCAGTGCTTGAGAATCCATCCTTGAGCTCTATGTTACCAATGTCATCTTCCTTGAGAGAAGCTGGGCCTGGCATAACAGATATATCATATATAAATTAGTGTGTATGTTATGGCAGGCAATAGCAAATCACTGCGCCATTGCTGTACTTGCAGTAGTGGTGACTAGCAATGACAAGTCAGCAAGATACCACCTGCGGACATGTGTGGGACGATCTACTGCAGTCATGTGGTCCAAAAGCTCAAGACTTCAGTAGAGCATAATATCTAACTCACGCTTCATTGTGATCAAGACTCTAGTGAAGTTAAGGCGCAAAGTTTGGGATCAGTATATCAAAAGTTTAATTTAGTATAAATTTCATAACCTGAAAAGGTGGATTTTCACCAAAGATTTTTCTTTTGTGAATACTTTTTAGTACCTCTTCTTAGTGCTCTTATGCCACAGACTCCCAACTCCTTTGCTTTTAAAAGATGTTCAAATACTTGTGTTTTTGTTGTTTCATAGTAGGGAATATGTATCATGGTATTAAAACGACTGATTTGTCGTGAGGCTGAACATATCAATAATGCTGTTGGTTCTTGGCAAGTGTCAGATAAAGGATCTTCAGAAGGCTTCCAGGTAATGTCTACAAACATAGGTATAGTGTTGCTTTCATGCAGGCGGTATAATATGGCACACAAATTAGTAGCTCCATTGAAAGTCTTTGGAGGAAAGAATTCAACTGAGAAAAACTTTCCATTTCCTTGACATTCATTGATTTTGTCAAGAAGCTCTTTAGATGCAATTTTGTCTCCAGTACATAATTCATTGTCATTATTTGCCATCTTGATATGTCTACAAAATAATATCAAACATAAATAAATAATTATAATGATGAATTTAAGAGATCTATAGACCTCTTTAGCTTTGTATGCAAATTGCCCATTTCAGATTACATGACAACGAACATGTTAAAATATCCACACATGAAAGAATCAACTCCTAAGATCTAGAGTGGCATTACATGGTCTGAGATGTGCACAACGAAACAACAAAGCCAAAGTGGTATATTACAGTAAACCATGCTTTTTAGGACAATGATATTTAAAGACAAGAGACCTTTTAAGATCATGATCCTAAAAAGCATGGCTTAAAACCTCGAAGCCCCCCTTTTTTGTAATCTTGCAAGCTCCAACAAATTAACAGCGAGAACGAATTTTCATCGTTTTCATATTGTAAACAGACTTTTAACTAACCGTAATAACTGGGCTGTTTTTAGATAAACTGACCAATATATAAATACGATGGGCTAAGGGCCACTACATCTTACGTAACTGATTGTCGTCGATGGTTGGCGTGAACACGTAGCTAGCTGTTCTATCTACGTATATTTATAATCAGGTTGAATCAGGTTTATTGACCGAAGAGTCAAAAAGAACAACCGGAAAAACCGGCTGTTCATTAAAACAAATTATTTCTACAGGGATTTACGTGTTATTAAATCGATTTTAAAAAACATGTTAAGTGAGCGAACAAAGTACAAAGAAAGAAATTAGATGATTATTTAAAGGTCTTCATAAAGCAGGGTAATTTTTACTTTAGCCAGTCGTGATTGGAGCCCTGTGGTGAATAAATAAGGCTTGGTTGCTCAGTTACTCGAACGTGATTCAAGATGGCGACCGGTGGACAACAATTAACAGCAGAAGAGGAAGACGCTACTGAACTTCAGTTCCCAAAAGGTACTTCATCTTGTATGTTAGAAGGATTTTAAAATGTTCATGAGATTAAGGCAATGTCTTTATATTCGATTGACTAGCTTATAATATTTTATATTTTATGTCATATCTTACAAATTGAAATAGCTTTCAGCTCTCTTATGTATAAATACTGAAGATCTTCCAGTTTAAATAAAGCAATTATTATTATTATTATTATGAGTATTATTATGAGCATTAAATATTGATCAGCTATTGTTTATGTGTGTTCAGTTTTTTGAAAACTACTTTGGTTTTTCGACAGAGTTTGAAAATGCTGAAACTTTGTTGAATTCTGAAGTTTATATGTTGCTGGAACACAGAAAGAAGAAGAATGAAAGTGCAGAAGAAGAACAAGAACTTTCAGAAGTGTTCGTTAAAACTCTTAATTACACTCAAAAATTTAGTCGATACAAAAATAGAGAAACCATCGCACAGGTTCGAAGTTTATTAGGCAAGAAAAAACTTCATAAATTTGAACTTGCATGTCTTGCAAATCTCTGTCCAGAAACAGCTGAAGAAGCAAAAGCCCTTATACCAAGGTGAGAAATAAGAGGATGTGTCTGTCTGTATGTCTCTTTTTAATGGAGGTGATTACTATTGATATGAGGAGTAGAAAAGACGTACATATATGAATTTTTCTTTCTGTTGTGTCTATTATCCATGATTTACAGCTGATGTTTACCTAAAAAAAACTTTATCTGTCATTGAACTAACTTCTTGCTCTCTTTTACAGCCTAGAAGGACGGTTTGATGATGAGGACCTCAAACAACTATTAGATGATATTCAGACCCATAGAAGTTTTCAATATTAATCATGGTGGGGTAGGGCAGGCTGCATTTTCTGTTGTCTACATAATTTATAATTTGTTCATAAAGTGATTACATCAAAATCCTGAAGCTTTGGATATCATATTTGTTTTAATTTGTAAGTCGTAAATTAGCTTGTAAGAGAAATTAAGATCAGAATGTAGTACTTTTTAGACTTTTGCCTGAGTGGATCATGACAGCAGTAGAGTTATAAAGTTTAAACACATTTATTACAGAAATACATGTTTACAGCACTTCCTGATCATGCCAAGGAAACACGGCAGAACCCCTTTTGTTTGGCTGGTATTTGTTTTATTGCATGTCAGCCATTTTGAATTTCGTTTAAGTGCTGACCACGAAATCGCGAGTGCTTTCGCCTAAGAAATATCATGAAAAATAGCTTGATTGACATCCACCAAAACCTACTTTATCTTTTTGTTTTTATTTATTAGCAATCTTGGAAATCCTTTCCTGCCAATAACTGAATTATTCTGTCCTGGGTGGCAGCTACCATATTCATTGCAGAAATAGACTTTGAAGTGCATTTCTTTTACATGCATTAATCAGTCAATAAATAATTGTTATGCGTTACCGAACATGGTACTTTTCTTTCTAAAAGAATATGCCTCTGTCATACCTCCAAACTCCACCTTAAACCCTAAACTCCCTAAACATTAACCTTCTAGTCTGCATTTTCTTACTTCATGTCAGCATCCTTTTGTTCTTACTTTTTTGAGTGTTCTTATGGGGTTCACAGTGCTCTAAATCCCTCAAAATACGAGTTCATTTTGGGGTGTTTAGAACTATTATAGGTTGTAAAACTACTACATAGCTGTTGCATATTGCAAGTAAAGTGCTGCGAGGAGGCATGAAGGGTATTTATGGTTGCTGTATATTGTTTATCAATTGCCTGCCTCTATTTGATTTATTTGTCGTAGTGTAGCTGACCACAATAATACTAAAAAAATTTTTTGTTCTAGCAGGATACAATAATTATATAATAATTAGGGACATCTTAAGGGGAAAGCAAAGCTATCTTATCAGCCTTATTGATGCTTTTGTGGACAGTGATTATGATAAATAATTTATATAAATTAATAATAATAAATAATAATAAATTATCATAACCACTGTCCACAAAAGCATCGATAAGCCTAATAAAATATCTTTACTTTCCCCTTAAGATGTCCCTAAATAATTTGTGAGATAAATAATATATGAACTAGGAGCACGAGGAAAGACTATTTGCCCCTGAAGTTGAAGTTGTGGGGAGCCCAACAAGTTACGTGAAAGATATCACGTGACCAAACACCACCACGAGGCAGGCACATGAAAAAAGTACTTGCCCCTGAAATTGCAGTCGGGGGGGGGGGGGTAATGGAAGAACTTTCAAAATTGAGAATTTTATTAGCTATGGGACACAGGAAGTCCAAAATTAGTGTCACTGCCTTCCTTCTTGCAGCAATAAGACAGGAGGTTAGGGGGGGTAAAAAAATCTGAAATTCATTCTACTAAAACATCTATAGAGTGAAGGCAAATAAAACTTAGTCAACATGGATTGTAATAGTCAAGTAGACACAAAAGAACACAATGGAAATAGGGTCTAATAATGTGTATTAGTCTAATCGCTATTTTACAGGTTTAGTCACTTCACTCTAGTATCCATAAAACCGTTAGGAAGTTTTTGTTAGCAGACAGGATGGCATATAATCAGGGTATCATAACTGATACTTTATTTTTTAATAAGTTCATAATTGCTACCACTTAATAAATTAAGTGTATTATAACCACCAAATCATTATTACAGGTTTTCAGTTTCAATAATAGTAGTATAGGGAATGGGGGTTCCAGCGCAATCTCAACACGGGCAAGACCCGTGTCAAAAATCCACCTACGGAAACAACCCACTCCAAGTGTGGTTGGGGGCAACAGCGCAAATATGTTAGTCTATATATGGAGTGCGAAGAATGTAAGAGA